GTTAGGGTCTGTGGGGGGAGGGGAGGTTAGGGTCTAGACTTGAATGGGAGGTTGGGCGTCAAGCCCTAAACGGGAAGTTATGGTTCGGTCCGTGGGGGGAGGGGGGTTAGGGTCAAGCCCTACAGGGGGAAGTGCTAGGGTTCAGCCCTACAAGGGACTATTATCCTTAGTATCCTTAGTATACGTTTGGGACGTAGCAGTCCCAGGCCACGATGGATCGCCGCCTCTGTGTTTTTTTTTAATATAACTATCATAGTAATATTGAAAAAATTGACCCCTAAGGACCCCACCAGGACTCCGTAAGGGCCCCACCAGGACCCCCATCAGGGCCCCACCAGGACCTCGTAAGGACACCACCAGGACCCCACCAGGACCCCGTAAGGACCGTGCCAGGCCTCCATAAGTAACCCGCCAGGACCCCTAAGGACCCCACCAGGACCTCGCCAGGACCCCGTAAGAACCCCACCAGGACCCCGTAAGGACCCCACCAGGACCCCATATGGACCCCACCAGGACCTCGTAAGGACCCCACCAGGGCCCCGTAAGGACCCCACCAGGAGCCCGTATGGACCCCACCAGGACCCCATAAGGACCCCACCAGGACCCCGTAAGGACCCCACCAGGACCCCGTAAGGACCGTAGACGTTGTTGCCGCCGCCCTCCCGCTGGGGCTTGAGGACGTAGCCGTGGGGGTCACTCAGGGCCCGGGCCACCGACGCGTCCCCCTCCTCTCCCCAGCTCCTGCAGCGTCTGTGGGGGGAGGGGGGGTTAGGGTCTAGACTTGAATGGGGAGTTAGAATTCGGTCTGTGGGGTGGAAAGGGGGTTAGAGTCAAGCCCTACAGGGGGAGGTGCTAGGGTTCAGCCCTACAAGGGACTGTTATCACAGTTATATTAAAAAAATTAACCCCTAAGGGCCCCACCAGGACCCCGTAAGGACCCCACCAGGACCTCGTAAGGACTCCATAAGGACCCCACCAGGACCTTGTAAGGACCCCACCAGGACCCCATAAGGACCCCACCAGGACCTCGTAAGGACCCCACCAAGATCCTGTAAGGACCCCACCAGGGCCCCGTAAGGACTCCACCAGGACCCTGTAAGGACACCACCAGGACCCCGTATGGACCTGCACGTGTAGCGAAGTATTTCTCGCAAAGCACGTGCAGTTACGCTCATGTAAATTCATTTTGAGAGCAAATATAGGCTCGTTAGAATCGTCATTCAACCTCGCGTGTTGAGTGAACTGAAGAACATGCCTGCACATCAACGATGTACAGTCGCTAGACCGCAATACTAAGGTTAAATTATATATGTATATATAAAATATTATATAACATACATGTGATATATTATGTATAACATATATATTATATGTTATATAGCTATAAATCCTGGCTAAATCATAAATTGCCAGGTGGTACACGCACCTTCTTGGTGCCCGCCAGGTGGTACTGGATGGAGGGGCACTTGATGGCGAGGCTGCGCTCGATGAGGAGGCGCGCCCCCCACTCCCCCTCCCCGGGGTACGCGCTGGGGTCGTACCCCCACCTGTAGTACACCACCCCCACCTCCACGCCGCCCCTGGGGGTACGGGGGAATTAGGGGGGATGTGGGGGGAGGGGGAGACAACATGTGGATGTGTGTGAAAGGGGGAAGGATAAAGTGGCGAGAAAGCAAGAGGGTAAATGCAGTGAAGGAGAGAAAATTTGAAGAGGCAGACGGATGAAACAATGGAAGATGCAGGCAACTGTATTAGTGAAAGGGACATACGAGTGAAAGGCTTAGAGGACCATCTCAGTGAAAGGGGCGGCCATGACTCACACGAAGAGGCGCCGTTGGTCGTCAAGGCGCCCCTGGTCAGCCACCTGCTGTAGGGTCCTCCTGATGACCTGCAGGCGGGGGCGCTGACGCAGGAGCTCGTACTCGTGGTAGCGCTGGTCGCAGATGTTGTAGGTAACCTGCTCCACGACGAACATGACGGCCGCCCTGTAACATGTTACATGTTACTGCATGTTGTATGTTATGTCCTCTACGACGAACATGACGGCCGCCCTGTAACATGTTACATGTTACTGCATGTTGTATGTTATGTCCTCTACGACGAACATGACGGCCGCCCTGCAACATGTTACATGTTACTGCATGTAGTAGCCCTGTAACATGTTACATGTTATTGCATGTAGTAGCCCTGTAACAAGATAAGTACAGGGTCATCAATATTTAGCGTTACATTGTTTTTTCAAAATCAATACACTCGCAAAACAGTCAAATGTGTTGTATGGAACCATGTCGACTGTTCTCCGGAAGGACCTAAAGTTGTCCCCATTCAAGCATGTCAAAAAACCCCAACTGTCTGCTCAAGTTGTTGACAAACGCCTCCAAAGATCCAAGATTCTTCTTTCCCGCATTCATGATGGCACGCTTCCAAACCTCGTTTTCAGTGATGAGAAGATATTTAATATTGAACACCACTTCAACTCCCAAAATGATGGAATTTGGTCGAAGAATGGGACGAAGGATCCCGTGTGGTGACTAGGAAGCAATGCCCGACCTCAGTGATGGTCTGGGCAGCCGTAACAGAGTCCTCAAGGAGTCGCCTCTTTTTTGTTGACAAAGGGGTGAAATTGAATCAGAAGAACTATCGAGATGCCATCCTTGTTGGTGCATTGTTGCCCTATGCACGGAAGCACTTCAAAAAACGTCCCTGGCCGTTCCAGCAGGACTCTGCACCATGCCATGGGGCCAAATCGACTCAGGAGTGGCTGTCCGAGAATGTTCCCCACTTCATTACCAAAGATGAATGGCCCCCATCGTCACCCGATCTGGATCCTCTGGATTTTGGGATCTGGTCATACCTTGAGATCAAGGTCTCGACCGTTCACCATCACAGTTTGGACGCCCTAGAGGTCAAACTGCTGAAGGAGTGGGCCAAAGTCCCGCAGAGTGTCATTCGTGATTCGTGTAAGGCTTTCTCTAAGCGTCTACAACTCGTTATTGATGCAGATGGTGGACATATTGAATGAAATTGTGGGAATTGAATCTCTGAACCTCTGCCTACATAAATACATTTTCAAACATTCACAATTGTGTTTCTTTTCATAGTTCTAACCACTCAAAGTTGTAACGCTAAATATTGATGACCCTGTATTATAGCATGTTTTATGTAAATGTAACATGTCCAGCATGCAGCAACAAGTTCTTCAGATCCCATAGCACAACATTGCTGCAGTTCAGTTATCTATCTCCTATATTCTGACAGCTAATTGATACTTCAATGCATTTTATGAACTATGCAAGTATTACATCTTACATATTATGCACCTTACATGTTACGTGGCATCTTGTGGATATGCAAAATGATAACAAGACATAAAAATACCCTTTTACTTCAGTTGTGCAACTTAAATTAGTGATCAGCTCTAATAACATCATTTATCATATAATTATTATTCATTATTAATATCAATGAAGTGAAGCACATAACCATATCAAATTACAATGATTATTTTTAATAAATAATGTAAGTAACAACAATTCAAATGAAATAAGTTAATCATTTATCAAAAAATTATTATTCAATGAACCAAGCATTCGACCAAATAAAATAATAATTCTAATAACTATCAACAAAATAAAGTACATAGGTACTAAATAATAATAAATAAATAATGATAATAATAATTAATTCTAATAAATAATGTAAGTACTTAGGGTTGTTGTAGTGCTCCCAGGCAGCTACCATGCCACCACACAGCTGCTCCAGCGCCTGGTTCTCTGGTAACTGTAATGGTAAATACCATCAATACCATCTACGACGAACATGACGGCCGCCCTGTAACATGTTACATGTTACTGCATGTAGTAGCCCTGTAACATGTAACATGTTACTGCATGTTGTAGCCCTGTAACATGTTACTGCATGTTGTAGCCCTGTAACATGTTACAGGTTACTGCATGTAGTAGCCCTGTGAAAGTTAGTGAAAGCTACGGTAGGGAGAGGTACATTCAAATTAGGTTAGTGTTATTTCATGTTGTACATTACATGCTAAATGTAACATGTCCAGCATATGGTAATATGTTCTTCAAACCACACTGTTGGCGGGGTGGTTTAGGCTACCTTGCAGCACATCCTCTTATTTGTGCAATGTGTATGTTTTATTTTGAAGTGTTCAACTATTTCATTAATTCAACTAAAATTATTCTTATTCTTTTCAGCTCAGGTTTGATCAGTGATTGATAATCTACTCGTAATTTGATGACAAAAACTACGTATTCTGTAGCGTGGTGCTGGATAAATAGCTCTCCCACGCTCCCTATAAACCTAACTAACTTGATATTAGAGGCATTTTACTAGTGTGCATTTTACTTATTTTCTTCATGTAAAATACACAATATGTGTATTTTACTTATTGGTCTGTGTGCCTTTTACTTGGTGACATCTTCAGTTCAGCTTCAGTTAATCATATCTACACATTTTCATGTCACTCTTACTGTACGAGATCCCAATAGTTATCAGAACCAGTATTTGCATTTAATTTACCTTTTGCGAATTTAGGCATAATATTAGTTTAGTAACTTTAGTTCATTCTTAGTTCTCATTTTTAGTTCTCTTTGATTTCTAGTAGCCAATTGATATTTCAATGCATTTTATGAACTAAGTAAGTATTACATCTTACATATTATGCACCTTACATGTTACCTGGCATCTTGTGGATATGCAAAATGATAACAAGACATAAAAATACCCTTTTCCTTCAGTTATACAACTTAAATTTGTGATCAACTAAAATGAAAGAAATCCATCATTTATCATATAATAAGTATTCATTATTAATACCAATGAAGTATCAAATTATTCATATCAAATATCAAATTAGATGATTATTTTTAATAAATAATGTAAGTAACAACAATTCAAACGAAATAAGTTAATCATTTATCATATAATTATTATTCAATGAACCAAGCATTCGACCAAATCAAATAATAATTCTAATAACTATCAACAAAATAAAGCACATATAAAATAATAATAAATAAATAATAGTAATAATTAATTCTAATAAATAATATAAGTACTTAGGGTTGTTGTAGTGCTCCCAGGCAGCTACCATGCCACCACACAGCTGCTCCAGTGCCTGGTTCTCTGGTAACTGTAATGGTAAATACCATCACTACCATCAGGGCATGAATACCATCAATACCAAGTGCTGGGCATGAATACCATCACTACCAAGTGCTGGACATGAATACCATCAATACCAAGTGCTGGGCATGAATACCATCAATACCAAGTGCTGGACATGAATACCATCAATACCAAGTGCTGGACATGAATACCATCAATACCAAGTGCTGGACATGAATACCATCAATACCATCAGGGCATGAATACCATCAATACCAAGTGCTGGACATGAATACCATCAATACCAAGTGCTGGGCATGAATACCATCAATACC